TCAAATGTTATTTTTAAAATATCCATAATTTCCTAAATATTAATTAAATATTGATCAATTTTAAACTTTACTTTTTAATTAATAAATATGTTTTTGTTTTGTGAAATATTTTATATAGTCTCTTATATTTTTTTTCTTTTGTTTTTAAGCAAATATAATATTTTTAAAATAAATAGTATCTAACAATAAAACTAAATAATATAAGTATGTAACAATAAGTATGGAGGGTCTTTTTAAAAAAATAAAAAGAAAATATTACTTAGCAAATAAAAAAACAAAAAAATCTATATAATGTAAATGTTTTAAAATTATTCCTAATTTTTAATTAGAAGTTTATAAACTTTTAATTTTTTAATACAACGTTTTAAACTAGTATTTAACGAAAGTATTTTAAAAAGTTATAAAAAATACTAAATTATCATACAAAATCTATGAAACACTTTAAAAAATGTTGTAAAAGAAAATTTAGAAATAAATGTATGAATGTTATAAAAACAATTGTATGAAATGAAAAAAAAAAATTAAAAACTTGTAAGAAAATTTTAAAACATTTATAAAATATTTGGTTTAAAAGCACTTGTATTAAAATTATATGAAAGTATAAAAAAACTTTAAAAAAAATTATAAGCAAAGCTTAAAACGTTGTAGTAGAAAAGCTATAAGAAAAAAATATCATAAAAATGTTGTAAGAAATTATAAAAAAATTTAAGAAATTTATATAAAAAAATTATTTACATTTACAACTTTCTTTTTTGTAAGTATTTGACCATTTAATATGTTAAATGTGTTCACATATTACCATTGTCACCTGCTATAGCAGGTGACAATGGTAATATGTGAACACGTTTAACAAGTTAAATGTTAAATGTGTTCACATTTAACATGTTAAATGTGTTCACATATTATGTTAAATGTGTTCACGTATTACCATTGTCACCTGCTATAGCGGGTGACAATGGTAATACGTGAACACATTTAACAAGTTAAATGGTCAAATATGTATAAAAAAATAAAGTTACCTAAACGTGAACAAGATAAAAAGATAATTACCCTTGCAAGTTATTTTCCCTACCTAGCAACTATAAAATGAAAAGGTAAATCAACTTTTACAACGTAACAAATTAACAGGTAATAAATTGTCAATTTACACATTCTTTTTTTTAGATATTTAGATGAATAGCATATATTATGACTTTAGCTTTTGTTTATCCAATTATTTATAGTTTTTGAAAATTAAAAATCATATAAAAGAAGAAGCCGATATAAACAAATCCATACTTTGAGGATTTAAGCTGTAAATATAACAGCATTGTTGAAGTCTTGGTGGGGCCACCCACCAATATTTTATAAAACCAACTCAAATTTGCTACGATTTGACCAAAATGACTCCCTTTATGCAAAAACAATACCTCAACTTTAATACCACTAAAGCTAAATGCTATGATCATTACGTTTTCATTGTTATGCCATTTTGACTACATGTTTATTTGGACACTATTATCTTTTAAAAATATTATCATTCCACATCATTTATGTTCTTTTTTATATTAGATTAAATAAAAACATAATTTTAAACTAAAAAACATTTTAATAATAAAAAACATTATATTAAAAACCACATTACAAATTACAAATATATAAAAAAAAAATAAAACATAGAAATTTAAAACCTACATTATTTAAAAAAAACATAGAAATAAAAATATAGAAATATAAACCTACATTACTAAAAAACATATAAATTAAAACATAAATATTAAAAAACATAGAAACTAATCGCCATATTTTTCGTCGACTTGACGTTGAATTTTTAAAAATATTGCTAGATTTTTCGGGTTGATATCCGATTAGGGCTTGATGTTCAAAATGTGAAGATTGTTAAGTGATATATTTTGGCGACGAGTTTCCTCCTGTTTTTTGAACCTTTTTTCGAGGAAAAGTAGATGTTTGTCTAATTTTCCCGAAAGTATGTCTCTAGTATTCGTTTTCCGGGATGACGATGTCGCCCGTTTCTCTTTATCCCTTCCCGTTGATCGACGAAGGTGGACTTCCAATGGACCCTCCCCCTCAGTGTCATCGAATTCATTATTAAGGTTGAGTCTGAAACCCACATCCCACTTCGATATTCTCGACCTTGGATTCGGTGGTCGATTCCGAATGCGCCTCCGGATTAAGGATCCATTTTGGACCTTCAAGATTAGGGCTGGCAAAAATGTACCATGAAAAAACAACCAACATATTACCAACCGAACCAAAAATGTTGGTAACCAATATATTTGGTTGGTAGTACCATACCAATTGACTAATCATGGTACGATAGTGGTATAAAGTTTTCAATACCACAGTAATACGGTACCAACCAATTATATATATATATATATATATATATATATATATATATATATATATATATATATATATATATATATATATATATATAACTTTTAGTATGTTTAGTGTTTAAGATTTTAAGAGCTTTGATATTAGCATTATTGTATTAGTAAAGTCTATGTTTTAAATTTATGTCGGCATGTCCCATTTTCCTCCACTCTCTTGTTAGAAATTAATAAAATCCTTTTGGGTCAAATTTTCAATCGCAGCAATTACAAAACTCTTATTCATAAAACCTTCATTCACGTTTCAAATTGTTCAAGAACATACAAACCCTCATTTAAAATACCCTCATACATGTTGGTACATATCATTACCAACATGTACCAACCGAACTTATTGGTAGCCAAACAAGTTGGTACCAACTATACTTGGTACAGTAGTGGTAGAATTTTTTGTGTACAAACTATAATTGGTACGGTATACAGTTTATGGAAAAAATGACTGGTACCATACCAACACCACCCCTACTCAAAATAAATATGCCACGCTTTTTGGTGTCCGAAAGGTTTGCCGCCGTTGCTAAGCTTGTATTGGTAACACATCGTTGAAAAAAATATTGAAATCGTTGCTACCAATTTCGTTCATATTTTTTATAAAAAAAATTCATTTATGTCATTACAGTTGGTACACGCCGCTCGTAGTTCATGCCATTTTCCATTTATCGTGTCGTACGTACGATATGACCACTTTCCTAATTGTGTGTGAAAGTTGTCCAAAACATGATTCCAAAAACTTTGTGTCGATTGCACGTTGCCGGTTTGTTGGTTTTCCGATATGAAAATCCAAGCTTTCACTAAAGCTTCCTCCTCCTCTTCGGGTCCAACCTCAAGTAGTTTTTTTCCATTTTCTTTCTTGTTTTTTCTTCTAGGTGGTTGTTGAGTTTCTTGGACCCTTTCGTCGTCATCATCATCAAGGTTAGGGGGTTGGGATTGAGAAAATGGGACTTGAGTTTGGGGTTGAGATGGTTGCGTTTGAAATTGTTGAAGTTGACAATAATGTTGTTGGAAAGCTTGGAATTGAGAATGATTGAATTGTGGTGGCATAGGTTGTTGGAAGTAGTTTTGTTGGTATGGAAGGTTGGTGAATATATATGGTAATTGAATTGGGGATGTTAGCATTTACATGTAATTACCCATATGTGAGAATTGATCATTTGGAGTGTTTGGGGTGTTTGAAGTGGTTGATGTATTTTGGTTTGGATCCATAATTTGAAGAGAATATGGAGATATAGAAAGAAAATGGATGTATTTGTAGTGTGAAATATGTATAAAAGATTGGTATTTTATGGGTAAAAGGTCGTGTGATTTTAATATAAATATTAAATAATTGTTTATATGTTAAACAAATGCATGCAACGGTCTCATTTTTTATTGTTTGAACAACTACCCATTAAGGTGTCGTAATCATCTGTGAACAAGCCAAGCCACAACCAGTGGCGGACGCAGATTGTTTTAGTAGGGGTGTCCCTCGTACTTCAAGTCGGTGCACCTAATACAAAAAAAAATTTACACTACGTGCCGGAAATTGAGCAGTGGCCCGGGACACCCAATGCTCCACTAAGGTCCACGATGTATGTTGAAGATGCTCTGAAACCTTTTGTTTGGCTCTCAAGCTAGCCATCTCTTAGGAATGTTTTCTATTTGCTACGAGTTTTAGAGGTTGTTTAGGACTCTTTGTAAGACTATTATAGAAGGTCATTAGATGTCATATATTATTCATTCATACCTATTCTTTCTCTTCTATCTCCTTGGAATTTTATCAACAACGTAACCGTTCAATAAGTAGAGACCATTCATAGTGGTTTTTTCCTTTTCGGATTTCCCCTTTATATTGTGTTGTCTGTGTGATTTTTTTTGTGGTTATTCATTATTTATAATTTTATAACAATGTATAGTTCAATGGGAGAGTTGAATGATATGACATACCTAATTGACATTCAGTGGATTAAACCATGTCATTGTGAGATGGATATGGAGTTCAATGACCATTGAACTCTTCAATAGGAAAAAATGAAACTTTTTAACTATTAAATATGTCATTAATTAGATTATATATATATATATATATATATATATATATATATATATATTATATATATATATTTCATAAAACTTTATAGAGTTCAATGCTTCCAATAAAATTATTGGTACAGTTGTATAGAAACAAGAGTAGAATTATGATATGACAATACATTACATTATGATCATGAGTTCAAAGCATTGTGGATGTCTGATGTTTAATCACATTCAACACAACTTGCTTTAAAAAATTCGACATGATTTTGCAATTCACACTGGCCAAGTATTCGCAAAGTCTAGAGTTTTCCATGGAATCAAAATTTGTGTCATGTGTTTCATGGAAGTTACAAGGGTATATAGTGTGATATAATACGACATATATGCTAGCTACCTATTATTGTTACAGAGTCAAGTCGATTGGTTATGTCACAATTAATTACATTCTAAAGTCTATAGGATATAGGAAAGCAGGTTATAACAAGCCAGTTTAAAAGTATGCTATTGGGCTGTTTCCCTAGGAAGGAATCTTGATGATATCAATCAAGTCTGAATCAAAATCACACAACAATTTATAATATAACTTGTTTCATACTCTTTTGTATTATATATTACTATATAATACCTTCTTTCTTACAAGGAAATACTATATTTTTATGTACATGCATTCTCTCTTAGGATTTGCCTGGAATTTAAGTATACATACAAACCGAAGGATAAACCAATATCAATTTCCACAAGTACTCACTGTTGTGACTGCAGCGCCATTGTGATTCGTGAGAGGGTCTATAATTCCTTATCATCACAACATGTGTTGTGCTGTTTTCCTTATTCCCTTGCTTCGTATATTCTTGGATGGCTGTGAATGTTGTTGTTTATGTCCCAGATGAATCTCATCAGTTGAATATGTACGAATTCCGTTCCCTGATGATGTCAGCTTTATCCTTATGTGTTTACTGGTAAACCGCCTGTGGCAGGGAGATATCTTGGGTAGATGAACAATTCTAACAACACATCTCTTTTCCATGTTTGAAATCGCATGAAGATGAGAAGGAAGATCAATGAGAAAATCTCCATATTCGTCAGTTTTTCCTCTTACCCAGTTCGATTTACTTCTTTTCTTGTTATTATCACATGAAACCGCAACCAATGCTCCTGTAAATTCAAATTAAGAAACCGATTAAAAAGAAGTGTTTGAAAAGTGGAATCATCATTAACCATGGATTAGTTACAGTTATATGCATATATACCGGAGATTGGATGCGAAATGGACTTCCTATTGAAATATGTATCGCAGTGTAAAGTCCCGCCAACAATCACCGTGGAGAGCTTTTCTTCTCCATAGCCAGCTAGACTTAATAATTCATCCGGTGTGGAGAGGTCCACTAGTGGGTTCCGTGGTCCAGCTTCAGCCATGGCTGAAGCTCCGAGGAAAAAGAAGATGAAAAACATGATTATCATGTGCGCTTGAAAATGGATCATCATCTTTGTGTGTTTTTGTTGATACGTAAGAAGTGGAATACTTTGGAACAACGCAAAATGGGAGGAGGAGACAATGAAAAGCTACCCGATTGTAATGTGAGGGTTTACCTTGTATTTATTGTGTGTGCATGGGGTCTTGTTTTCTATTGAAATTACAATATTACCCTTAAAGTATTATGAGTCATATCATATGGTTGAATACCCTACTTTGACCTTTGACCAGTGCCTTGTACCCAATTTTTGATAGGTAAACTTCCACAGAAACAATAAACATAATCGTCAACATGGTAAAGAGGAGGACCAAGGTTCTGACACTTTCTATTCTTTTTTTTACCTGTTTACTTTTGTGACACATATAGAAAGAGAGTAGACTTTAAATTGTTAGTCTTGTTTGTTTAACTGTTTATGATCGGCATTTTGTCTACATAAATCGAAAAGGATAATCACAGAAAAATTATACGATGTGATCTTTAATAAAGTGACCACATTTAATTCATCAACGATACATAGTTTTAATGGTTTAATCCGTGAGATAGGTGTTATTAGGAGTAGTTTAGTAGGAATTGGTTAGATTTGACATACAATTTTGTTAATTTTTTTACATTGAAATATATAAAAGTTTAGTAGAACATATTTTTTTAGAAAAAATTATTTACTTGTTAATCATTTTATATTAAAAAAAAATTTAGTTCATCAACTATACATAATCATTTTATTTTTCCTACAGCCTTATTATTATTGTTATTTTTCCTATGATACATTGAAATCTATAAAAGTTTAGTGGAGCATTTTTTTTTCTAAAAATTATTTATTTGCTAATTATTTGATATTAAAAAATTATTTATTTGTTAATCATTTTATAATATTTTTTCCTATATTGCATTGAAATCTATAAAAGATTTGTTTCCCCATTGGACGCCAATTTAACATCATTGAATTCGATCTATCAAAATATCAATTAGATATTGCATCTCATTCAATTGTCATTTAACCTGCTATTAAACTATTTATTATAAATGCTGTTATTACCAATAACACAAAATAATCATTAACTTTGCAACTGTTCGTATGTTAACTGAATTGGCAGGCAAATTGTGTTATTCACAAAAAACATGATCAATTTCTTATATATACCACATCAGAAAATTGTCGTTTTTTGTGATTAATGATTATCTATAATTGAAGCGGGAAGACCGTGTATAAGTTTTGGAAAAAAGATATACACATAACTGGTAAGAGGGCATTTCCGTCATTGTATATCAACACCTTTAGAAGGGCAAAGAAAAGGTGATGTAGAAATTTCCGAAGGGACAGAGGGGTATAAAGGTAAAATGACATGAGGGAAGAGGGATTACCACAAAAACAAGGAAAAAGGAAGTAGGTAGCCAACTTGTGATCTCGTTATTTAAGTATTCTTAATTATATAATGTCACTAACATATGTTAGTCAAGCCTGCCCTATCTATATTTTCATTTTTCTTTCTTACTTCATCACAAAATTAAATATTTTTCTTCAGCCGTTATTTTCTTTAATTTAAATAAAATTATTAGCTGAACTAAATTTACACACACACACATAAATTGATCAACAGTTAAACCAAATCAACTCCAGGTATGTTAAGACAAATATAAGAGAACTAATAATTATACATGAATTAATTAAGTTGAGATGAGATCAGTTGTGTTGAAGTACAAATTGGTTTGTTGTTTGGAGAAAGTTGGTATTGTGGAGACAGGAGAGAAGCCTGAATATTGTTTGTGTCTCTTGGCAAAGCAAATCTGGGCTACATATTTGGGAAGATCATATTTCTGGACAAAAGGTTGAGCTGCATACTCTTCAAACGCCATCCACTACATACACATAAAATAAATCAAAACAATTTCTTATGATTGATGCATGATCAATTGAACAATGTATTGAAGGTGTATTAAAAAACGTAATTTTGATTGCAATACATTTAGAAATAAGGTAAATACTATCATAAGTCCAAATGTAATGTGTATCTGTTGGATAAGTATATATACTCATATTTCGCCACTTTTAGTACTCTTACAAAATCGAACAATCCTTATACTCTCCTGAAACGTATTTTTTGTGTTGTGCCTAAAATATTAAGGGTGCGTTTGGTTGTGAAAATTTCTCTAGTTTTTCAAAAAAAAAAATCTAAGAAAAACGATACTTTTGCAAACGCGTTTCGTTTGATAATTTTCCTAAAAAATTTACAAGAAAAGAGAATTTTTTGTATTCCAACTTGTGCAGATAAACAAAACGAGTGCAAGACTTTAATAATTCTTTGATATCTTAAAATACGACTAAAAGCCAACTTAAATAGTCTTTACAAAAAGAAAAACCCTACTTACCCAAAAATAAAACATAGCAAGTCCAAAATAGATAAAGATAAGCAATAACTAAATATTATAAAAGATAAAAGCGCACAATAACCCTTTGTCAAAATCGGCGCCTGTGGCCAAAACGACTTCCAGTCGTATCATTACTCCCCTTCCAAACATGCACCTTATCCTAGATGGCCTTTCGCAGCTGCGAAAGATGGAAAACATTATGGATGCGAGCATCTTGCCACAGTAAGGATGAAGCTTTAAGTAAACCCAATCTCCAACCTTGAAGTTGACATCTCTTCGGCGAGTACTGCGTGATCTTTCATAAGTTGTTGAGATCGCAATAAATGTCCCCATAATTCTTGTAAAATCCAATCTCGCTCTTCCAAGTACCAAGGACCGGACAACACCATAATACACCAATGTGGGGATCACATCCATACAAGATCCTGAAGGGAGTGGTATTAGTCGACGTGTGGAAGGAGGTAACGACAACCATTGCACCCATTTGGTTGGGGTATCAGAAATGAAACACCTCAAATATGTTTCCAAGCATCGATTAACTAACTCGGTCTAACCTTTTGTCTGTGGATGGTAAGTCGTACTATGCTTCAATGTCGTGCCATGCAAGCGGAAAAGTTCTTTCCAAAACGAACTCAAAAATACTTTATTGTTGTCAGACACAATCGACTCTGGAACCCTATGCAAGCGAATCACCTCTCGCAGAAAAACTGTTGCTACTGAAACCGCCATATACAGGTGTTTAAGTGGGATAAGGTGGGCGTGCTTACTCGGGCGGTCAACCACTACAAAAATAACTGACAGATCGTGGTAGCCCGTCAATGATGTCCATCATGACATCAGACCATACCCTCGACGGAATTACCATACCCTCGGCGGTAATTCCAACGGTTGCAAAAGACCCACGGGTACCCACCCAATATAATTCCTTTGCCATGCGTTGGTAGGTCTTTAGAACCCCCGAGTAACCCCTATCGGGGTGCCATGGAATTCCCAAAAAAAACCCGTGGAATCCATTTCTAAGACCAAGGCAACACTAATCGACCCTGGAAGGTCATGTTCGATATTATACGCCTTTGTTGCTTCTGACTCGCTTAACAATTGTTGCTTCACTTTTTACCCTAGAAGCTTTGACAACCACTTTTGATGTTCCTCAGTTACAGTGCGATAATCCAATAAATATTTTAAGCTACGTTGATCTATACGAACCAGAAATGTTCGGCCCAGCAGATACGGACTCCAGTTCTAAACCGCTAACACAATTGCCATTAATTTTCTCTTGTAAACCGACTTATGTCGGGCCCGAGTGCCTAAGACTTGACTGAAATAAGCTATCAATCTCTCATCTTGCATTAGAACCATCCCTACCCCGTAGCCAGAGGCATCTACTTCTACAACAAAATCTTTGCTAAAGTCCGGAAGGGCGCTAAATTCCGGAAGGGCAAGTACTGAACCAGTGGCATCACGTTTAAAGCTGGCGGAACGCCCTTGTAGCTTCGTCAGCTAGTCAAAGTTGTCTTTTTTTTAACTGCTCTGTTAAAGGCGAAACAATCTTACCATATCCTGCCACAAAGTTTTGGCAATACCCGGTCAGACCCAGAAACCCACATAGTTCCCAAAATCACATTGATTTTTGTAGGGTCAACTGACGCCCTTTCCCGCTGATACGATTAGGGGTGTTAACGGGGCGGTTCGGTTCGGATAGTAATAAAATTGTGAACCGACACCACGGGGCGGATACCTCATGTGCACTAACCGAACCCGAACCGAATTGGCAAAAAACCGAACCGAACCGTATAAAGGCGGGTAACCACGGTTCGGTTCACGGGTACCCGCTAAATATAAAAAATCAAATACAATAAAAACTATAAACTCCATTCCAACGATTTCTTTCTGAAAATTAGTAAGTCCAAAAGTTATAAAAACATAATGAAGCTCAAATAACATACATTATAATTGGTATAATAAATATAAAAATAAAATTACAAGAAACCATAATGTAGAAGTACAAAATTGAGATTGCCAATCATGGTTTTTATTTGGGATATGGCTAACACTTTAATGGAAATGAGTAATATATATATATATATATATAGATATATATATATATATATATATATATATATATATATATATATATTAAGCGGTTCGGTTCGGTTATCCGCGGATACCTAAGTATCCAAACCAAAACCAACCCGTTGATATTCGGTTTTTTCGGTTTCGGATTGCCCGGTTCAGCTCGGTTTTTCGATTTTACGGTTTTTTTGCACACCCTTAGATACGATGTAGCCAAAGTACTCAATCTGCTTTTGGGCAAAAGCACATTTCTTTTTGTTGGCATCCAACTGATTCGTTCTATTTACACCCAATAATTGTGTAAGTGTTCCCAATGCTCGTTGTAAGACTCGCTGTAAACTAGAATATCATCGAAGAAAAATAATACAGAACGCCTTAAATAAGGTCTGAATACCTTATTCCTGGAATGGAATGTGGCGGGGGAGTTCGTAAGGCCAAAAGGCATTACCAAGAACTCGTAATGTCCGTCATAGGTACGAAAGGCCATCTTAGGAATGTCTTTTTTCTTCATGCGGATATGATGACACCCAATTTTCATATCCAATTTCGAAAAAGTGGTTGCTCCATGTAGTTTATCTAGAAGTTTGTCAATCAAGGGAAAATCAAATTTGTCAAGCACCGTTCCTTTGTTTAAGGCACGGTAGTTGACACATAAACGCTAGTTGTTGTCTTTTTTTTACTAAAAGAACGGGGCTCGAGAAGGGGCTATTGCTAGCGTGTATTATTCCCGCTTCTAGCATCTCATGTACCCATTTTTCGATTTCTCCTTTTTGGCATGAGGGTATGGTTTGATGATGATGACAGGTAAAGTACCTTCTTAGAGGTTAATCGCATGTTCGTGGTAACGGTGGGGAGGTAATCTGATCGACATGTCAAAAACATCACCAAAATCGATGATGACAACCTCTGCGAGGGCTTTCGCTGACGGGGCTGCCATTGAGGTGGTAGTCGGCTTGGTTTTGTTAAGTGCATTTGTAACACGAACCCTTCATCTTTCGGTCGAAATGCCTGTAGGAGCGATTTGATGTAATGATCGTTTTAGACAAGCTTGGGGTCGCCCCACAAAAATATCTTCCGGTCACCGGACCAAAACGACATCCACAGCTCCTTCCGGTTGACAGGTTGTTGCTCCGAGCGTTTGTAACCATTTGACACCCAAAATAATGCATGTGCTTCCCAGATCGAATGGAAAAAGAAAATCTTCAAAATTTTGCAACTCGGGAAGTGATAGTAGCACCCCTTTACACATACCATGGCTTCGGTCTAGCATACCATTACACAGCCTAACACCCACCAATCCCATATCGGTAACCGCAATGCCAAGCTCCTTAATCAATTTTCTTGAAACAAAGTTATGAGTTGCCCTGTTGTCTATCAATATGGTGTTAATCCGATCACTGAGTTGAGAGAAACCTCAACCACATCCACACATGTCTAGATGAACGTGCCCGCCATCACAGTCTCCTCCTCATTACAAACTAGCATGACATGTAGTGTTTTTATCAGGCAACGATTCCCCAGGACATATTTGGCATCACAATTGAAACACAACCCACGAGACTTCTTGTCGGCCAACTCGGACTCAGTCAACCTTTTGAAGGTTCCATTCGATGCCGAATATCCAACTATCCCTTTTCTCTCGCCTAACCCTGTAGTCGTTTGTGGAAATCCTGGTTTCGTGAAGTTGTTAGTGGATTTCCGACTTGGTTCTCATCAATCATAATTGCAGCCTTCATAGCGTGGGTTAGGCTTTCGGGTTGCATTATACGCATTGTCAACCTCACTTCTGGTTTTAAACCCTTCACGAAAGTTCCCTCCGGCACTTGTTCAGCTATTTCACCCGGTCACGGGCGGAGCTTAAACAATAAATATGGGGGGGGGGGGGGGGGGGGGGGAAGTATTAGAAAGAATGCCTTCATAAAGTCAGGGGAAGAAATGATGAATGGAAAAGCAATGAATAGAACTTAATGATATATCTTAACCTGTAAGAAGATGTAAGAAGGTGTGGAGAGTGAAGGGGAAAATAGAGAATTGGGCATTGAAGAGAGACATGTGCAGAAACGACTTATTCATGTAAAGAAATTTTACAGTCAAACAAATCATGCTAGATTCTAATAATAATTTTCTACTTATAATAATCTAAGTATCAATCTTCCATCTACACATCAACTCTATCTCATTAGATCAAGCATAATTTGTTACCGGTTCCTATCTATTTTTTAACCCCTTCGAGTCACAGCAATGAGACTTAAATATAAAGATGAACAATCATTATAGATACAAACAAGAGAGACTGAGAGAGGCCTTCAAAACGTTTTTTACCACAAATAAAATTCTCTGAATTATAAGTATTCCATTTAGGGCCTAACATGTTTTAAAACTATTGGGCTAACAATGTGTAATTAGTTCATTCCTAAAATTCCAACAACAATCAATTAATCAGATATAGATGAAATCTTTATATCAGTTCATAACTTCATTCTAGACAAAAGCAACAAAACATGCTCAGTTCATAAGTTCATTCTAGACAAAAGCAACAAAACAGGCTCCTAAACATTGAACAATTCCAACTTTCTAATTACAATTTACAAGTATCCAACAACTAAATCCCTAAATCCCTGAAACTGTGAAAGTTGAAACATGAAAGAATAGCAGCTGAAAAAGCATATTTGATCGTGATTTTCTTCACTTTTGTGCTGTGAAGTGTGAAACAAGAAAGAACAGGCGAAGTAGCGAACAGCAGAATTGCAGCTGTGCGGTGCGGAACAGCTGAACAGCAACACTGCAGCAGAGAGCGGTGGTGAATGGCGGAGCGTCGGAGCCGGCAGCTTCTGACCTTCGTCCTTTGATTTAAGGATTAGCAAGTAGCGACTGCGACTAGCGAAAGCGATTGTCGAGTAGCCGTTAGCGAAGAATTGAGGATGGGGATTGGGGTGGAAGCTTTACAGATTGAACGATTGCTGATTTGCTTCTCTATTTCGATCGGCTTCTTGGCAAACCAACATTGGATCAGAGGGGCCACAGCCCAAGACTCATATTGTTGGGCCTATAATTCTGAATATTAAACATACTTACTTTACTTCTAGCCCAAAATTCAGGAGGGGCCAAGACCCCTCCTGGCCCCATAAAAGGTGCGCCCCTGCACCCAGTTACCCAACTAACTTCTTAAACTCGCTCACATAATTCCGGATAGTACCTACGTGACTTATAGCCAAGAACTGTTCATAAATAGTTCTTTCATACGACAGTTGAAACCTTACCAACAAGCGATGTTTTAACGCCCCTATGACCTAAACAGTGACCGATTTTTGCTCCAGCGGTACCATGCTAGTGTTGCCCCTCTATGCAGAGAGCAGCTGCCTTAAGTTCTTCTGGTCCTTCGATGCCCTAAACCTCAAAATACTGTGTTCTACCCGGTAAATCCAACTGTAAGCGTCCTCACCCTCGAAAACAGGCATCTTAATCTTCTGATAATCCGTGCACCGGTAATTGTTTCCAGAATTCCCTTTGCTATTAACCTCGTCCTCATGTTTCTTTCCCCTCTTCCCGGACACATTGCTCTCCTCGTCAGAATCCTCAAAAGTGCCCTAGTGAAAACCCTTAGACTATGTTTTCTTGCCACTTTCCTTGTCCAAGTTATGGAATGTGGATGATAACTCGCCTATAGCCTTCAGGATAGGAAGTCGTTGATTTACTGCCCAATTTCTTTCCAGGATCCTTCGGCCTCCTCACGGAATTTTGCAAAGTCAGGGGCGCACCTATTATGGGGCCAGGAGGGGTTTTGGCCCCCCTGAATTTTGGGCTAGAAGTAGAGTAAGTATGCTTAACATTCAGAATTATAGACCCAACAATATGAGTCTTGGACTGTGGCCCCTCCTGATCCAATGCTGGTTTGCCAAGAAGCCGATCGACATAGAGAAGCAAATCAGCAATTGTTCAATCTGTAAAGCTTCCACCCCAATCCCCCAGGCCCCATCCTCAATTCTTCGCTAACGGTTAATCGACAATCGCTTTCGCTAGTTGGCTAGTCGCAGTCGCTACTCGCTAATCCTTAAATCGAAGGACGAAGGTCAGAAAGCTGTCGGCTCCGGCGCTCCGCCATTCACCACCGCTCTCTGCTGCGGTGCTGCTGCCTGTTGCGGTTCAGCTGTTCCGCACAGCACAGCTGCAATTCTGCTGTTCGCCACTTCACCTGTTCTTTCCTGTTTCACACTTCACGGCACAGAATTGAAGAAAATCCCGATCAGGTATGCTTTTTCAGCTGCTATTCTTTCATGTTTCAACTTTCACAGTTTCAGGGATTTAGTTGTTGGATACTTGTAAATTGTAATTAGAAAGTTGGAATTGTTCAATGTTCATGAGCCTGTTTTGTTGCTTTTGTCTAGAATGAACTTATGAACTGATATGAAGATTTCATCTATATTTGATTAATTGATTGTTGTTGGAATTTTAGGAATGAACTAATTACACATTGTTAGCCCAATAGTTTTAAAATATGTTAGACCCTAAATGGAATACTTATAATTCAGAGAATTTTATTTGTGGTAAAAAGCGTTTTGAAGGTCTCTCTCAGTCTCTCTTGTTTGTATCTATAATGATTGTTCATCTTTATATTTAAGTCTCATTGCTGTGACTTGAAGGGGCTAAAAAATAGATAGGAACCGGTGACAAATTATGTTTGGTCTAATGAGATAGAGTTGATGTGTAGATAGAAGATTGATACTTAGATTATTATAAGTAGAAAATTATTATTAGAATCTAGCATGATTTGTTTGATGATTTGTTTGACTGTAAAATTTCTTTACATGAACTCTTTCATGAATAAGTCGTTTCTGCACATGTCTCTCTTCAATGCCCAATTCTCTATTTCCCCTTCACTCTCCACATCTTCTTACATCCATCTTCTTACATCTTCTTACATGTTAAGATATATCATTAGGTTCTATTCATTGGTTTTCCATTCATCATATCTTCCCCTGACTTTATGAAGGCATTCTTTCTCCATTAACTCAAAAAGAAACTAACACCTTATAAATCATACAATATCACCAGAAAAAAAATTGGTGTTTAATTGACGAAAAAATTAGGTTTTTTTATGTGTAAAAATGTTAATAGTAGTTTCTAATACTTTCGGCCCCCCAAAATTTATTGTTCAAGCCCTGCCCCTGTGCACAGTCTATTTCTAGGTTAGTGATCTTCGTGGTGTTGTTCGCCATCAAAGTACCAGGAGCATTTACCAATTTGATAAGAACATGGTAATTCGAGAAACGGGTAAAACTCCAAAACAAGTGCAAGACTCGAATAATTCTATGAAATCTCAAAATACGACTGAAAGCCAACTTAAATAGTCTTTACAAGAAAGAAACCCTCCTTACCAAAAATAAAACATACCAAGTCCAAAACAGATAAAGATAAGCAATAATTAAATAGTATAGCAGATAAAAGCCCACAATAACCCTTTGTCAAAATCGACGCCTATAGACCTGGCCAAAACGACTTCCACTCATATCAAACTCATAGTTCATTACCTTTTTATAATATTTTTTGGGTTTGTTGGCAACTTAAAGAATTTTCAGTAGTTTCTTTTCTAAAACCAATTCAAAGCCTATTTAAAATAATAAAAATTGGAAAATGAAAACTAATAGAAAATAACCAAACAAGTTTTCTAATTCTTTAAAACTGAAAATGAAAACTCAAAAGTTTTTAACCAAACACGTTTTCTAAATTTTCTACTAAAAACTGAAAATGCAAACACCACTTTTTTTTTGAAAACATTTCTAAGAAAACCAAAAACAGTTTTTCACAACCAAACGCATCCTAGGTGTCCTTATGGATTATCCCAAACTGAATTCCTTGTTAACCCAAGGATAGGGGAGAAAGATCAATCCGAAAAATTAGTTGAGAAACATCAAAACAAAAAGTTCCTTAAGAAATCCAAATTCTTGATTATCAAACCCAGTTTTCACCCCACTATTTCTAACAAGATGGAGGTAAGTGAGATGGTGTGTGTTTTTAGAATAGTGATGATGAGTTTGCCGGTTTACTCTGTGTGAAATCGGTTGTCATTTGTTGAAGTGCTAACATCCTAACATTGATTAACCAGGAGATGTGAATGTTCGTTTTCTAAACAAATAGGTTATATGCTAGTACTCCCTAATTTGCTCCAAAACTAATTTACCTTGACATCAAACACACCACTATCTGGAAAAGCACACTAATGATTTCAATGCACAAAGGTAGGTGTGTGTGTGTGTGTGTAACATGAAGAGATATCTTCATTAATCATTTGATAACTAACTAAAACCAACCTGGGCTGCTTCAATTTCTCTTTCCTGCTTCTGGATGTCAAAAGACAAAGGATGCAACATGCACATAAAGAATAAATCTGACTTGTTAAAGAACTTCTTATGGCTTTGTCTGCAAAAGTTCAAAACAAAAGTAATGTATTAGATGAACAACCCTCAAAGCATTTTAATAAAATATTTATGTTGCACATCAAAATGAAAAAAGAAAACAAACAAAAGATCGAGCATTGTCCAAATTTCCTATTATTTAAAACCAGAGTTCAAGTTTCAATCAAACCATTAGCATTTTACATGTACAAGATATCGACTTTGACATAATTCCTCACCTGAATGCTAATACTTCCACAAATTTGGCATCAATCTGAAAAATCAAAAACATCTAGTTAGTCAAGCCTGAAAATATCTTAGTTTACACACACACACAAAAAAAAAAAAAAAAAAAAATCCATTTTAAGTTCTTTTTTGGGCACATCGCATACTTTGATAGAGACTATGTTACAAATCTAACACCTGTCATATGTATTTTGTAGCATCAAATAGTGTCTCTTAGAATATTTTCTGTATATAAATTCTCCATTATCCATAGAGCAAATACATGCAAATGCAAATTACCCCTGTCTCTTCTTTTACTTCTCTAACAGCAGCATCACAAATATCTTCACCCTGTACAAAAAAAAAAAAAAAAAAATTGTTCAGATATTAAAAGTTAAGTTCTAATAATAATATGATGAATAACTAACCAAATCTACATACCTCATCAACAACTCCTGTAGGAAACTTCCATACTCCAGTTCCACTCATTTTTCCACCCTTCTCTTGCACCACCAGAACCTAGTACCAGTAGAAAATTCCCAAAACAAGTAAATATATACAAGTTTTGCTGTTACTCTTAAATCCCAAATGAATGAAAAAATCAGCAATTTTTTAACCAAGAAAATAACTCATGGGAGATGACACTCATTTACCCTCTACAAAAAGATATATACATGTGTTGAGTACCTCTCCATTTTCTTTCATGACAAAGGCACCAACACCAACTCTATGAGTTGCATTTGGTGGCAAAGTATTAGGAGTTGCAGGAATCCAATATACAAGCATCAAATAGTTTTTCTCTGCATGGTGATAATAGAAGCCTTCCTGCAAACCCAAGTTGAATTTGAATCATCTCATTATCTAACCCGCATAAATGCTTGAATCCAAGCTATGAGCTTACATTAACAGCAGATTCAATAAGATTTGCAAGCTCGATTGGTAGTCTAAGCCAGACACCCTTCTTACCCTATACAGGAATTGACCTTTTGGATAAGTGAAGAATCCATGTATATTTCCATTGTATGATTGAAGCATAAAAATAGTTGAAAGAAAATGGAAGTTTTGGATAACCTGTTGTTTCCATTGTATGATTGACTCCTTGAGTAAACAAGTGAACAGAATCTGGTCCATTGGCTCACTAGACATTTCCACAATAACACCTCCATGATCATCCTCCTTAGCAGATAACAATAACACATTATCAAGCTGTTTAGCTGCTGAAGACCTCAATGAAGCTGATATGGAACGTGCATTCAAATGGATTCCAAACGAGTTTCTGATTTTTCCTAGAAATTGTAAGGATAGCAAAATTGTAAGCACATCCGAAGTGGTACTGTACTACTGAAATCAAATGAGCAAAGAAGAAATACAACGAGTGGATTATCGAATTTGCCTAAAAACTAAACAAAACCTATAACATCAAAAGCACACCGAAAATCCCTAACGCAATATCGAGTAACTAGAAATTGAGTAAAACCGAATCAAATATAAGCTGTAACTGAAAATTAATGTAGAAAAAGATTGAATGTCAATCAGTTAGATAGGGAAACTGAGATACGGACCTGCAGGTCCTCCGGTGAGGAAAGTTGGGCGGAGACGGAGACTTGAGAAGGAAGGGCTTGTGGAGCTGAAACATAGAATTGATGGTTTTGGGAAACATCTGATTATCATATTTGTCTCTTCGACTTACAATTATTTCCCTTTTCAACTGTAATCGGTTTATATCTTCTTTAAATATGTGTATATTTTATCAGCCACGACGTCCACTTCTAGTGTCGTTTGTTCACGAGAGAAAAGAGTAGATGCAGTCGCTTTTCAAAAGAGAAATTTATCACATATGTTTAGTGAACTATTAAAAAATATATAATAATAATAATAATAAAGAAATATATTTTCAATAGTTAACATTTCAAGAACTTTTGAACTGTGTCACAAAAAAAATAATTATCAAAATAGCTTCTTCAATAATTAATATTTTAAATTTTTTAAATTAAATTAATTTATCATTTATCTATCTTAAATTGTTATTAAACTCACTCTTATAATTTATTATTTTACTACCATGTCATATTTTCAGAGGAAAAAAATTATTATCATTATAATTAAACAAATAAAAATATTACAATACGAAACTATAAAAATAAAGAAAATTAAATATTAGGTAAAAAAATAAAATTAAATTAAATTAAATAACCAAAATACTTTATGATATCTGATTTTTTTTTATTTTAAGATTTTTGACGATTAATTTTAAATTATATAAATTTTACATAAAATATCTTAATTTTTACTTTATTTATTTATTAAATTAAGTATTAACTAAATATAAAGTCTAAAATTGGGCTGAATAACATTTCTATGATTCTATCTACGCTTGGAAATTGAAATCCAAATGACTGCAAGCCCAATGCCCAAACAACAAAGACTTACGGAATCCTTTTTCTTTTTTCTATTTTGAAGTTCGTCCGTTGTTTTTCTTAACGTGCTGATCTACGGTTATATATGAGTTAATTTTGTTTTCAAACCGCCAAATTAAGCAAAATTCAGAAACATCCAACAAATAACTCGCCTTTGATTAGAAAAACAATCATCCATAAAAAGTATCTTAAGAAATGCAATCATTATCATGCCTTTAGTCGTATCATGAATCCAGTTGTATTAAATCAAACCATCTTAATATTACATCCAATGCTTTAAGGTTTTAAAAGAGTTAACACTAAACTTTACACAATCGTACTTGAATGATGACTCGAATTTTTGAGATTAAAGGGAATTTTAACGTTGAAAAGAAGTTTGGTCTTCTAATTTTCTCCATTAAATTGATGATCAACATCATTTGTATGAGAATGTTTTAAAACAAGAGTAGAAGTTCTTGTTATTATTAAAATGTAAATGTTTGTATATCTCAGGTTTGATACATATTACATAATTCGGATGTATATTTCATGCATTACCTTTGATACTTGATGTATATATAATTTAATCGTCGAAATGCATGAAGAAGAGTAATAAATAAATAAGTAAACACTGCATGGATGATGCCATGATGGAACTCGGGATTTGATAACCAAACACCATGTATATTAATCAAAATACGTACGATAGACAACAACATTAATAGATAATAGAGAAGAGAATCATTGACATATTAGATAATCAATCAATCAATGATCATGAGGCTTGGAGGCATGGATGAGGAAGATGAGAACAGCAGCCAACACCACCGGAATAATCAGAAGCACCGGGAATGATGGTGGTGCCACCGGCCCCATTACCAGTGGCAAGAACAACAAACATCCCACCACAAAGAGCATGGCCACCACCGATCCGACACCCCAACCATACTCCATGTCTTCTTCTTCGATTACGAACTTAAGCGTTCCACTTTCTGCCTCACGATCTTTCTCTCTCTATATATGTATCTTCTGCATACATGGACGTGTAAGTATTTATAGGAACGGGATGTGGCGGTTGTAAAACGGTTTTTAGCAGCAGACCCGTTGTGACGGTTGATGGTCAAATGGTCAAGTGCCGTTACGTTATCCGGATAAATAGTGAAATTGGATTTACTAATCGTTGCCTCCTGTCAGTCCTGGGACGATTATTTTATTATTATTATTTTATATAAGTTTTTATTAGAATAATCTATTTTGCGTATGTTGTGATTTTAAATTAATTAATCGCTTATTCTGAAACTTTCATATTATTTTAATGGGAAAAATCGTAAAACAAATTACGTATTAACCTCTTTTTTTCCTTTAGGTTGTTGAGGAATATACGATTATACATCATTCCATAGTCTACACATACGATTAGCTCAAGCCCAGGCCCAAGTTTTAAATAACACAACAAAGCCCAAGTTCATCAAGACACGATGAAGATCCAAGTACCGAGACAATCCAACCCGTAATATTCTTTTTATATTTTGCGAATATTTATATAGGTCCTTAAACTTGTTGAACAAATACAAAATCATGTATATTTAATTAAATATCATTGGTTCCTTGCAAATCATGAAAATATTTTTTAATTGCTGATTATACAATAAACGTTTGATTACTGCATTGTATTGCAGGTTTAGATGTGCAAAAAAAAGACATGTATGTGCTTCATGCGTAACTGAGGAAAAAAAGTTTGATTTAAAAATGTCGTAATGTGACCAATTTTTTATAGTAGCCTACTTACACATTATCATCCATTCGAACAATTTAAAATGTCACATAAGCAAACTGTGTCACATGTACAAATATAATTGTGATAAAATATATATGTTTTTATCTATTCCACGTCTCTAGGGAAAAAGTGTTGAACGAGAGAATTTGTGAAAAGATTCTGTTTTCATTAATTGATTACAATGAAAACGATTTCCAGTATATACACCAGAGATCTAACCAACTTAACTACCAGCTAACAAATCTACACATATTTACAGAATAGTCCCTCAACTATTATAAGCTATACAAAAATAACAAAAATATGTACAATAATTCCAACAGCCCCCCTCAAGTTGGGAGTTGGGAAACAAAACCCAACTTGCCAAGAGCTTCTGCATGATCTTTGCTTCCCAATGGTTTAGTTAACACGTCTGCTGGTTGTATTTTAGTAGGAATATGCGATAAGGAAATGAGACCATCAAGAACTTTTTCTCGGACAAAATGACAATCAATGTCAATATGTTTTGTCCTTTCATGAAATACAGGATTCCTTGCTATATATATAGCAGCCAAATTATCACATTTAAGAGGGATAGGTGTGATATCTGGAATCTCAAACTCAACATGCAATCTATTAAGCCAGGTTAATTCAGAACAAATTCGTCGCATTGATCTGTATTCCGCCTCAGCAGATGACAAAGAAATAGTAGATTGCTTTTTTGATTTCCACGAAATAGGAGTTCCTCCCAAAGTGATAAAGAATCCACTGACAGATTTTCTTGTATTGGGGCAAGCTGCCCAGTCACTATCACAAAAAGCTTCAAGCTTGAAATTAGTGGAGTTGTTGAATAATAAGCATTGAGATAGAGTTCCATGTAGATACTTTAATACATGTATTGCAGCTTCCATGTGAGCTTGTGTAGGTTGACTATTGAATTGACTCAAAAATTGAGTAGTAAAGGCAATATCAGGTCTGGTGTGAACAAGAAAATTTAATTTGCCAATTAATTGCCTGTATGGAGTAGGATCTTGTAAAAAATCGGATGAAAAGTGAAGATCTTTTAGTTTGGTGGGAAGAGGTGATTTCACATTGGAAGCTTCCTGAATACCATATTGCTCTAATAAATCCTTGATGAATTTATGTTGATGAATAAGCATTCCATCAGGAACTGAATTGAACTCAAGACCTAAAAAATAATTGATTTGGCCAAGATCTTTGATTTGAAATGTTGTGTGAAGAGGAGTTTTGAGATCTGAAATTTCAGATTAATTGTTGCCAGTCACCAAGACATCATCAACATAAACAGCAACAATAATAAAGGAATCTTCAGTCTTCTTTTTGAATAAGGAGTAATCATTTGTTGATCTTTTAAATCCTTTTTGAATAAGAGCAGATGACAATTTATCATACCACTGTCTAGAAGCTTGTTTGAGGCCATATAAAGACTTCTTCAATCGACATACATGATTTTTGGATGATGTTTGCATACCAGGAGGTAATCTCATAAACACTTCCTCATGAAGGTCACCATGTAAGAATGCATTGTTAACATCAAATTGATGAATTGGCCACTGTTTCTTGACAGCTAAAGCAACTAGACGCCTTACTGTATTGAACTTGACCACTGGAGAAAATGTTTCATGGTAATCTATTCCTTCTTGTTGGGTAAAACCCTTTGCAACAAGGCGAGCCTTATTCCTTTCCACAGATCCATCAGCTTTATATTTAACCTTGTACACCCACTTACAAGCTATAGGTTTCTTTCCTTTTGGTAAAGGGACAATTTCCCAAGTATGATTGGCTTCTAAAGCTTCAAATTCTTTGTTCATTGCTGCTTGCCACAATGGATCATCTTTAGCTTGAGAGTAAAAAGAAGGTTCAATGATTTTGACATTGGTATTGAAGGTTCTTGAGAGAACATGATTGGATGAATGAAATTGTTTGATATCAGGTGAATGAATAAAGAAATTTGTAATTGTGTGAGAACAAGAATCAGGGGCATTTTGGTCATTTGTAACATTATAACAAATGTAGTCTTGTAAATGAACAGGAGGATGATGAGTTCGTGAAGTTCTTCTTGGTTGAATTGGATCAACAACATTGGGAGCATGAATATCTTCTGATTGTGGTGATTAAGCAGGAGTAATATTGTCATTTTGTGGAGATGCTTGAATCTGTTCTGAAACATTACTAGGACTATCAAAGATATCATTGTCTGAAACAATAAGAGGAAAACATCTTGGCTGATTATTAAAACTTGACATTTGATGAAGAGGAAAAACATCTTCAATAAACTTCACATCTCTTGAAACCGAAATAGCTTTTGTCTGTAAATCAAGAACTTTATATCCTTTTTGTCCAAAAGGATATCCAAGAAAGACACGAGATTTGGATCTTGGCATGAATTTATCTCTATTATTTGAATGAGTACCCACATAACACAAACATCCAAATGTTTTTAAATTGGTATAATTGGGATTTTGATTAAAAAGAACTTCATATGGACTTGAATTGTTGATCACTTTAAGAGGAGTTCTATTGATAATGTATGCAGCAGTTAAAACACAATCACCCCAATATGATTTGCCAAGTCCAGATTGAAAAAATAAGGCTCTTGAAATCTCTAATAAATGCTTGTGTTTTCTTTCAACTATTCCATTTTGTTGTGGTTTATAAGGACATGATTTTTGATGAGAAATGCCAACAGATTGAAAATATAATGCTCCTTCTTGACTTGAACCCAATTCAAAGGCATTATCAGTCCTTATTGTTTTGACTTCAGTTTTGAAATGAACCTTGACATATGTGACAAAAGCTTTGATAATACTGAAAGCACCACTTTTATTTTTGAGTAAATGTACCCAAGTACATCTGGAATGGTCATCTACAATGGTTAAAAAGAATTTATGACCATTATAGTTAGGAACTTTATAGGGTCCCCAAATATCAACATGAACAACATCAAATATGTGATTAGAAACAGTTTCACTATTTGAAAAGGACATAGAATGTTGTCTTGCTTGAGAACAGATTTCACAAGAATCAAAAGAGGAACTACATTCATTTGAAACAAGAGACAAAAGTTTCAACTTATTGAATGGCAAATGTCCTAATCTATTGTGCCAAAGATTTAGAACATTGCTTTTATTACATGAAAGACAAGAATGAAATTGAGATGTTGATGGTTGTTTGAGAAGCTTGTATTCACGAATATAGAGATCATTAACTCTTTTTCCAATGATCAAGCTACTCTTCGACAAAGGGGCCTGCATGGCACAAAATTCATCAGTGAAAAGAATCCAAACTTTCAACTGAGATGTGACCTTAGTGACTGATATGAGATTATTTTTGAACTGAGGAACATATAGAACATCATTAAGAATAATATTCTCATGAATAGGAACTTTCCCAGATTGGGTAACAGGAATGGATTGACCATTAGGCAAACTAAGAAAGTGAGAATGACTGAATGTATGAATTGAAGAGAATAGATTTTGATCACAACAAATATGATCAGTAGCCCCTGAGTTAATGATCCAAGAAGATTGTTGTTTATTGTTATTAACAACATTGAAAACATATGAAACATGCTTTCCTTTTGAATCAAGAAAGTTACCTGAATTGTCCATAGTACCATTAGTTATCACAGAATTGACAGATTTGTTGAAATTGTTGCTGAGATTACTCATTAGCTGCATCAATTGTTGATACTGCTCATTAGAAATTGTAAAATTTTCAATGGAAGCTTTATCTAAACCACCAGATCCTCCACCAGGGGTAGAATTGTCAATAACATTTTGAACAGTAGAATCTTGTCTCTTGGATTTGGTAAATTTAAAATCAGATGGAAAGCCATTGATTCTGTAACATGTTGCTTTGACATGACCAGACTTCTTGCAATGAGTACATTGCAAATTCTTTTTGTTGAAAGAAGTGTTTGAATTTGAAGTTTGATGATTAACATTCATTGCCATAGAATCAACGATTATGTTAGGTACCGAATTGATATCACGTTGTCTCTCTTCATGAATTAACAAAGAATGTACCGTAGAAATGCTAGGGAGAGGATTCATCATCAAGATCTGACCACGAATTGATTTGTAAGACTCATTTAATCCCATAAGTAATTGAATAAGTCTTTGTTCTTCAACATACTTCTTGATCTTGGCTGTAGAACCACATGTGCAAAGCGGAACCTCTTGAATCATGTTCAATTCATCCCATATCTTCTTCATTTTTGTAAAATATGATGAAAAATCTTCAGATCCTTGAGTAGTTGAGAAAAGCTTCTTCTGAATTTGATAGATCAATGCACTGTTTGCTTGTTCATAACGCTGATTTATTTCATTCCAGATATCACAAGCAGTTTGCAAGAACAATACACTTTCAGCAATGTCTTTTGATAAAGAATTCAATATCCAGCTGATAACCATAGAGTTGACTCGATTCCAGATTTCGAATTGATTTGAATTTTCAGCTGGTTTTTCAATAGTTCCATTTACGAAACCGAGTTTGTTTTTGGCAGATAACGCGAGAGTCATGGATCTTTTCCACGATGCAAAACCAGTTCCATCAAAAACTTTTGAAACCAAAACAGTGCTCGGATTATCAGATGAAGCTAAAAATAGAGGATTAGAAGCTTCAATGGTGGACGAAGAAGATGGTTGAGAAATCGGAGAAATTGGATCACTTCCATTTCCAGACATGATTGAAACAAATGAAAAGAGAACAAATTGAAGAAGAATCACAAATTCATGAAGAAATTGAATAGAATGCGGAAAAATCAAGATCACGAGCTAGTGCTCTGATACCATGTTGAACGAGAGAATTTGTGAAAAGATTCTGTTTTCATTAATTGATTACAATGAAAACGATTTCCAATATATACACCAGAGAACTAACCAACTTAACTACCAGCTAACAAATCTACACATATTTACAGAATAGTCCCTCAACTATTTTAAGCTATACAAAAATAACAAAAATATGTACAATAATTCCAACAAAAAGTCTAGGATTTTATTGACGATAAATAAGAAGTGCAACAATTTTTTTGTTGACACGGCTCGATTAAAATAGATTTAACATTAATAAATCATGATATGTATAAAGAAATTGGCTACTAACATTGTCATAGACTCATAGTAACATATGAAAGAAACTAAGAAAGTGATTCTTGAAAAAAAGTTTTTTTGTAAATTGTAATTAGCAACAAAATAAGTAAACTAAAATACAGATATGAAAGTACTATGACATTTATTTTAACTTGATTATCAAGACTTGAAAATACAAATAACAAAAGTACGTTGAATCATGGAGTTCAACCACTTGGGAATAGTTGGATATTTCTTAGAATGGAAGATGAGTTTGTGGGTAATGTATCGTGACACATCACATTATGTGAAAATTAAAGGTTAATTAAGATATCATGTGATAAGAAAATAAAATAAATGGCATAAATTAATTGAAAATCAAGGGGTGACAATGAAAATTTAATGTATTCCAACTAGTTAATGTATCGAACGAGTGTGGGAAGTGTGTTTATGATTGTTGTTCACCGCGTGCTCTCAACCACGTGTCATCATTATAATTGTCCACATTTTCCCAAATCAACACGCCTCTCATCTTTATATGTCACTTGCCTTCATTAAATTTCAATTCGTACTAAAATTAAAGTCTAGCAAGAGAGCGAAAGAGGGAATGGCGAATGGCGAAGGTTTCCATGGCTACCAGAGATCCCATCCTCATTCAACATTTGGTAAAATTGTTTGACACCTTTTGCTTCAATTGCATTAATTTGAACATTTAGAGCTTTTTGTGTTTATTTTGTTACTTGGTTGAAATGTTTAAGTAGATGTGGATTTGTTTCTTTCGGTTTGAACTGAATGTAACTTCTTCCTCTGATATGATCCGATGTAGAGATTTTTAGTTAATTAGGTTATTGTGTTTGATTTGTTAGTTGTTACACTGTTAATTAAACTTTTTATGGTTTTGTTTTGAAAATCTAATGATGCTATGTATCTTTAATAATGTTGTAATAACTAATAATTACACATATAGAGAAGAAAAGGAAAAACCCTAATTCGATTTAGCCATCAAAACACATATCTTTCTCTTTTAGAAAGGTGGATTTAAGTGGATGATGAAAATTTTTGAATAGGTTTTCTTTTGTGTTGAAAAGAAAAAAGAGAGAAAATGGTTTGGATTGGGAGAAAGAAAGACAAATATGAGGAAACAAATGGCATCCATCCCATTCATGCTCTCTCTCTCTCTCTCTCTCTCCGACCCCACACACCTCTTACTTTTTGCGTTTTTATTTTTTTAATATTTATTTCTATTTTTAGTTTTATGTACTTGACAAGTAGCTTTGGTTTAGGGATCCATTTCCTAATTTTAGTTCTAGTGAATGGTGATTCAGTTTCTACATAATTTATTAAAATAAATAAGATGAAATCTACCAACATACTTCAAATTCCAAGCAGCTTTTTTCTTAAACCGTGAAAACAACGTTTGTTTTTTTTTTCTTTTTATTAATGTTTTCTATCTATTATTTATGAGTCTTGTAGATTTTTTTTTAAAGTGAGGCGAATGACGAAATCGTCAATGTCTGGATTAGAAATCGAGGTCTTCAATTCAAAAGGCAAAACCTCGGGTTAATCCCACATTGATAATTTTGATCTAATTTGAAAGTTTCTCTTTATAATTATTAAGATATTTATATATTTATATTTAGTCAATAATAAAACAATATATAGAATGAAACCTTTTTATTTTTTAAGTTTGAGAGAGTATCTTATAGGACGAACTTTAACTATTTTTAATTTTTATTAATAAATCTGATATTCTGTTTCTTGTTGACTTTTTTTCATTTTATTTTGTTTTGTGGGCTTCCAACCAAAATCCTTAACTTTTGAGATTAAAAAAAAAAACAACCACAAAAATGACCAAAGTTTTGCATGTTTTTTTTTATTTACTTTGTTTGGTTAAATAGCTTTTAAATGAAAGAAATACTTAATATCAGTTTCGTTAATGGTGACATATATGGTATTATTGGGCATTGTGATCAGGAGCAAAGAATTGGATGCAGCCACCACCGAAATCCACCAACAACATCAACGAATGCCTTGTTCGAGAACAAGATATGTTCATGCCAATAGCAAACGTGATCCGCATCATGCGAAAGTCCCTCCCTCCTCATGCCAAGATCTCCGATGATGCGAAAGAAACGATCCAAGAATGTGTTTCTGAGTTCATCAGCTTTGTGACTGGTGAAGCCAATGACAGATGCCAGCGTGAGCAGAGGAAGACGATAACAGCCGAAGACATTCTTTGGGCAATGAACAAACTGGGATTTGATGATTACATCGAACCCTTGACAATCTATCTCCACCGCTACAGGGAGCTTGATGGTGGAGAACGTGGGTCTGGAAGTCAATCACTTACGAAGAGAGACGATGTTAATGCTGATCATATTGCTAATTCCATGCCATTTGGTAACATCGATGCTTTTGCGCCTGTTTTTCGCATGCGTGATCAATTGTTTGGCCCTGCTACTGTCGCTGGTTTCTTGAATGATCCTGCAGCAAACGGTGGCCCTTCTAGGCGAACTGCTTCTGTCGCTGGATTCCAGCCATATGCTCAGTATAAAGAGTAAGGGTGAGATACATGCCAGCTGACAGGGACGATGATGGATGCATGTTTGTTTGTTTCTTTTTTTCAGTCATGGAGGATATTAATTATAGAACAGGAGTTCTTTCTAAATGGTTTGCTTTGTTTTGTATTGCCAAGGTATGTAAATTGTTTGCATACCTATCAAGTAGCAGCTAGTAGTCTGCATCTAATTGTAGGGGAGAGAGGTTATTATATATGATCTGGTTTGTTTTGGTTTGAACTTTAATTAAGTTTATGTTTGTTATTAGAAGCTAGTTTATAACAGCATCCACAATTGTAAGTTTAATTTGAGAGTTGAATGAGGTGACAAGTCTATTTTCATTTCAATGAATAAAACTTTGTCATTGTAAAATATCATATTGACATTCAATGGATTTAGAGTTCAATGGTCATTAAACACTTAATGGGAAAATGAAAAACCTCACTTTTTTGCGGACAAAAGGAAGGTAGATTTAATAGATAATGAATAGAAATAAGAACATAGCGGTTTAAATATATAAGTGCTTGTTTTTTCATACAAAAGATAGAAGCAAAAGATTACAACCGTTTCAAAAGTTGATTAACTAAGATGTCACACCCCCGGACGGGGAGGCAGAACACGTCGGGTTGTGCGACTTAGTTCATGGATCACAAGCAAATTGAATATACATCACAAGTACAATAATAACAATGCAGTAGTTACATTCCACTTTCAAGTTTGAATATATGGTTCTTACATATAATATAAACAAGTAAACGCGTGAATTGTCTTAACAGATAAGTCGATATAACAAAAACCAGAGAAAACTAGGTTGCCAAAAATCCATGAACATCTCTTCTGCTAAAAGTTGGTTCTATGATCTCCTGAGAATACATGCAGTTTGAGAGTCAACACAAAGGTTGATGAGAGTTACAGGTTTCTACTAACCGCAGTAATAATACTTTTATAAGTCTAAAAAATATTTCTTTTGTAGTTAAAACCATGTTTGAAAATGTTTGATAAAAAGAAAAAACATAAGTAAATCCATAAGTGTTTGATAAAGAAAGAAATCATAAGTAAATTCATACTTAAAATGTTTGATAAAGAGAGAAATCATAAGTAAATACATACTTAAAATGTTTGATAAAATGAGAAACCAAATCGGTGGTTTCTAGATAAAAAGATCCAACTAATGCTTAAAAAAAAAGAGAGAGAACCCGAATCCATAGTTTCTAGATAAATAATCCAGCTGATGCTTATAAAAAGAGAAACTGAATCTGTGGTTTCTAGATAAATAATCTAGTTAATGATTATAGAAAGAGAAACTGAATTTGTGGTTTTTAGATAAATAATCCAGTTAATGCTTATAGAACGAGAAATCGAATCCATGGTTTCTAGATAAATAATGCACTTAATGCTTATAAAAGAGAAACTGAATCCATGGTTTCTAGATAAATAATCCAATTAATGCTTATAGAAAGAGAAACTGAATCTGTGGTTTCTAGATAAATAATCCAGTTAATGCTTAAAGAAAGAGAAATCGAATCCGTGGTTCTAGATAAATAATTCAGTTAATGCTTATAGCGAGTCCTATAACCGAGCTATGTGACTAGATATAACCCCTTACGATGTTTTATTGGACGTCATGGATAAATGACAAAAGATAATTATCACCCGCTTCGATTGATCCATCGAGGTTGTAGCTAGCAACCGCAGGTGGGGGTATCAACCCGTATAGATCTATACAAACGTATCTCGCTCCGAAGATTAACGGTTATAGCCGAGTGGGTATACTAAGTGGTTAAACTTAGGTAATGAATAGTGTCTCACTATAAAAGTCATTAACTAAGGTATACGATATAATTGTTCTATAAAACCCGAGTAAGTTTGATATATTTGTAAAACTGTATATTACTCGCTTAAATAGATAGTAAGTTTCTCAAGTGCGTGAATAAATTCCAAGATATAAGTTTTATAATTTATACATATCTATTTAATATATGTACAAATCTATGCATAATATAGGTAAAAATAATGCAAAGTTGATAAACATTCGTAACACATATTTTTTTTGATACGCATTACTTCGTAAAATCATAATATTCTTATGATTTATAATTTATGACATGTATCATATAAGTTATCTTTTCTAGTTATAACATGTTTTAAACCACTATGACATACGTATGTCATGATAAAAACTAGTCATGATATATTATTTTGACGAAATATCGACTTAAACTAGATATGAGTTTAACATGCATTTTTCATAATCGATATACGTTTTTCATATGTATTCTCTCCCAAAATAATAAAACGTTAAAAAGGAGTCGTAAGCACTTACCTTAATCGCGTAAATTTGGGAACTAAGTGTGATCGTGAGAAACTGGAACATGACTCTTCTTGCATTCAAAATAACCTTCGGGACTATTTTGTTACCTAATAAAACCAAAGGCTGGTTTGGGTATTAATTACTAAGTATGCGTGGTTTTGCTAAAACAATTAATTACATGGACTGTTTTTTGTTAAACTCAACCAAAGGAGGGGATAAAGTAATTATTTTAAACCAAAGTTTGGGGAAAGGGACTTAATCAGTAAACAATTACAAGGGAGGGGTTAAACCGTTTATTTTAATTCCAAGTTTGGAATGAAGGGACTGATTTGAAAAGATGATACACTAGAGGGTTGATTCCAAATAAAATCAAAAGAAGTTTGCACAGTACCATCTTGTTCAAGTTACAGATCATGAAGAGGAAAAACGAGACCCACATCATTGGTCTCTTCGATCTCGACTGATACCCGACTCATGAAGCAACAAAAAAAAGAGTGGTGGTTGATTGATACCTCCTACAGTAAGAGTGACCGTTGGTGTTCCAGGTGGTGGTGAAGGTTTCTCGGTGATCACGATAGCAACACCACCCTCACGGTGATGGTTGTTTTTGGAAGCAACAAACGAAAGAAGGCAAGGGAGGGAGAGTACCAGCGAGATTGGTGGCTACGGTGGTCAGAACTCACAACAGCAGCGGTGCCAGCAAGCTGTTTAGGTGGCGGAGCGACAGGAGGAGCTGGGTTTTCCCTATGGCGGTGCAGTATGACCGGAGAGATGTAGCGAGGGTTTTTTAGGTCGTGTACTGTGGTGAGAGATGGCGTTGAGCGATTAGGACAGTCGGAACAGAGCTGCCAGTCTGTTCCCGGTGACCTCTCGGGGGTGACTTGCTCGAAGTCGACGGTTGTAGTGTCAATGGAGGGTGGTGGTGGTGTTGTAAGACAGAGAAGGAGGCGGATGAGGAGTCTGGACTAGTGTCAAAACCACCGATGCTCCTTTCCTTGCCAATGAAACAGGAACGAAAGAAAGAAACAGATGAGAGAGAGAACATGGTGGGGATATATTAAGAAAACGATGCTAACTAAGGGTTGTTTGATAATTACTAACTAAGTTAGAACTCACTGAGTTAGATTTTGATTGGGTTAGAAATTCTGATTCGTTTGATAATTACTAACTAAGTTAGAATTAGAAATTCTGATTGAATTACCTTCTGACTGAAACTACGTTGTTTGTTTGATTATATGTCTCACTATCTGTGTAGTAAACGATAAAAGTCACTATTTTACCATTTTATGTACAACACATTATTTTATAATATTAATTTTCATAGTTCTATTTTTTTTAATTTCTTATTTATCTTTTACCAATTTATTTTTGTAATTGTCATTCTTGTCAATTTCTTTTTTAATTAACTTATCATTTATTATCATTTATTTATGAATGACGAATCTAAATAAAAAATTGTCTTAAATCAAAGGACCATAAAATAAAATTATTCATAACGTCTCTTTTTGTTATAGCTACATGTCCTATTGTCTCCTTTGTCCTTGAAATGAAATAAAATACTCTTAACAGGGATTTTATGAAAATAATATAAACATATGAGGGCTTTAATGAAAAATAAAATTTATTTATTTATTTATTTTAGCTTCCTTATTATCACCATATCTGACTTTATTCCCAAGTTTTATCTCTTACCTGCAAGTGGGTGTGTTTGTGTAACGGGAAGTGACCAATGAGAATAATGACAAAATCAAAGACGAAATCGGCGATCATTTAGCGATTGCTTCATTATAAGGTATTGATCTCAAGGTCTCGCTACTTTCTCTACCTAATACCGCTCTTTCTCAGTCTTCTTTGTTGCGTCTTTTAGCAACGTAAGGTCCTTTTGGTTTTGTTTTGCTCCTAATTCAATGAAGAATTGCTTCAAGGACAAAGGGTAAAACGTGTAATTTGGGACCGACTGAAAGGCAAAAATCGGTCAGGAGGTTTTGAAATGAGGACCGAATCATCAACTATTTTTAGACCGAGTCCGATAATGAACAGGCAAAATCAAACACATCAACTTCTAATTGAGGACCGAGTCCCTCCTTCTGACTCAGTTAGCATCAATATCAAACAACCCCTAAACATGATTCAAAACACAGAGTTGACTCTTTCTTGGTTGAGGGATACGCATGCATGCAAGCATGTTTTTTTTCACTCATTGATTTATCCCACTCACAAGTTGCCTCGATTTTCGTGACATCAGTTTCGGAGCTCGTAAAACTATTTCGAAAGTTCCTGGAAAATGGCACGGTCGTTGTGATTTCAAATAATCAACGAAATTCAAATTCGATATACAGGTCTCCGTGACATGGTGTTCGTATTTTCGCGTTGTGTAGCTACCTTAAACTGAGCAATGTAGTGTCCGGTACCGGGTAAAATCAGGTATATACCTGCTTAAAAGCTTAAAACATGCATAACTTTCTTATGCGATCTCCGTTTTGGACGTTCTTTATATCCACGAAATCCTGAGAATATGTTTTTACCAATTTTATCATCCATGGACCCCATGTAGGTCAAATGTGAAATTTTGATTTTTAGGGCATCAGATCTCACTTATTTTTTAACTGATTCCTGTTTGATGACGATGGTCAACTTTTCGAGCGTTTTGAGGTATCACGAAGGCACTTATCAGTAATATGATCTCATTTGT